GTATACATACACATTCACATACATGAATACCCATACATATTTATTTTTATAGGTATCTCTATGTATGTATGTAATATTCATATATACAGAAGCAGACATATGTGCGCATATGGATATATATATATATATATATATATATATATGTACATTTGCACATGTGTACTTGTGTTTGTATAGTTGTATATATATAACCCTATCTATACTTGAAACTCATGTACTTCCAAACATATATGGATATGCATATTTATATATCTATGTACATTTATTTTTATACTTACATATGTCCGGAGGTAACATATACTTATTGTTTGATTATATATTGGTTCCGATATGGGTTAACTGCATACATACATAGGTGTATGCATATATACATATGTACATCTGGAAGGTATATATATATATACAGATATCTGTTTAATTACTTGTGAGTGTAGGTGTACATTTCTAGTCAGATATAATTGTTTACACGTATATGGAGGGGTGAGAGCTGTCACATGCGTATATGTACGATTAGTATATATGCATTTAGATATATATATGGTCAACTCTTGAGGAGTAAGGCGAGAGCTGAGGAGCTATCTAAAGAGGAAGTGTTGGTCGCCGAAGAAGAGTGTAACTCCACCAGGAGGGTGGAGCAGCATACGAGGAGTATAGGGTGTACCCCGACGAGTGTTTCGGCGAAGAACATACGACACCATAGTCTGCTGAAGGCATGGGTGGGACTCATGTACTGATTACCACTTTGAAAGGGACGTAATGTGGGGCACGGCATAGACCTGTCCAGGCAAACAGTGTCGAGACTTGTTGAGATGAGAGACGATCTCTAGGGCGTAGGAGTATTTATACCCGACCTATTTCGAGACGTCTACATACATGTCCAAACCTCCATTGATCCACAAAACGTACTATCATGTCCAACCTACGTCAAAGCCGTCGGCATCAACATCTTACATCTGAACGTCGAGAGGAAGACGATATAGACCGTCGAGGAACTAAGCGCCGCTAGTCTCTCACGGACTTTACCGACCATCGAGAAAGAACGGATGGAACCACAGGATGGAGCGGTTCATAGCCAAGCAGCGGCTACCGATAGACAGGCATCCAAGACACCCAGGGGTGCTATTCGCCTAACACAGGAAGACGTTGTACTTAACGACGAGGCCAAGGGAAATTCCGACCTGCGTGTGGACAGGGAGCAGTTCATTACTAGTGAACAGGTAGCTAGTGATGGACTGCCTTCCCGTTCGTCTTCGGGTATCTCTGGAGCCTCATCTTCCGGTATCGAGCAATCACGCCTACCACCTCACAAGCGCAGGCGTGACCGCCGTCGTTCCAACAACAAGGGCACGGCGCGGGGCCAGTCGTCGACACAGAAGCTAACCGAGCGTATGGCCCAACAGCAGTCGCTCTTAGATAGAGAGGTACGAACAGAGGTTGCAGCGTACATCGTCCGAACGACCCACGACCTTGCAGTACGCAAACGAAGCATCGACTAGTCCTCACAAACGGGAGCGTATGGCACAAGGTAGGGAGGAAAATCCCACGTTTCGGATCCAAGGCCGTTCACAACAACACCATGGCCTCGGGTACGAATCACCTGGGTCAGAAGGTCAACTCTCCGAGGAGGAAGATACCTTGTCGTCTCTAGAGAAGGCTCCGTCATTCCAAGAATCCGCACGTGAGCAAGGGTTGGCCAAGCAAAACCCGCATGGGAAGGAAGCGCTCAAGAATAGGCAAGACCAGATGAGCACGACCTATCGCCAACATCAACAGCGACAGTCGTTCGAGAGGGAAGCCGTCAGTGAGCATGTACAGACACCCAAGCGAACGGAGACAACGTCGCTCACACCTCCACCCCCACCGGCGAGTATTGAGAAGAGTCGAAAGAGGTTACATGCACGTATACTACACCTGAGCGATGAGTTATGCCATGCAATAGAGGATAATAATACGACTCGAGCTGAAGCCCTTAGGGGTGCGATTGAAACACTTCGAGCCACGCTAGAGTCCCGTCCAGTGGAAAAGCGTCCGGTACTATTACCACGTACATGGCCCGACTGGCCCTCGAATAGATACCACCTCCATGACATCATGGAACGGGATACGAGAGGGGCACTACTGGAGGCTTTTAAGAACGCGCAGATCGCAGGGTTAGATGAGAGTTGGAGCCTTACATGGTTCCACAAGGTATTATCTTACTTTAAGGCTGAGAAGTCAACATTGGATTACATACGTGACAATTCTGAACGATTGAAGATGTGTACGCCACAACACTTCGGGCCGAACAATATAGACGAATTTGCGGACCCGTCTAGCGCTTATCTTCCTCGATTTTGGACTAAAGACGATGGGGAAGGGGCGTTTGCCCACGACTGGTCGACAGTCGATGAATGGATGAACCCTCCATGAGAAAAGAAGCATAGAATGTTACGCAAGATAAGGACCGATGGTGCGAGGGCAACGGTGTGTCTGCCATGGGTACCAAGGGCACCATGGTTTGACCTGTTCAAACAGTTGTTGCAATCAGAGCCAGTACTGGTCCCACGAACGCCACACACGTTCCTCAAGTATGCTAGGTATGCCTGTGGCAAGACGCCATGGGGACACACAGTGATTGCACGAGTGGGACCCCCTAACGGGTTCAAACTGGACCCGCTGTTTTCACACGTGACCGGAAGATATCAATTGAGTTCACGCAACATGACTCGGGCGCAGCGGTTGAGGGCCGCTGCAACTGAGGCGGATGTGGCTGCCACTGAGGAGCCACTGGTTGAGGAGCCAGCGTCGTTGTTGTCCAAGGCTCATGTCACATTGGATCGCCTGATACACCTCGTAAAAGAGTTGTGGGGTCGGACAGGCTTGCGTGCGCAGTGTGAGCATGTTCGGCGTAGCTGTGGGCCGTGTCAGGTGGTCTCACCTATTCTTGGGCCGACGAGAGAGTTGCTCCAGCAACCAGAGCGACCGGATTCAGTTGTGGCTGAGATTGGCATGTATTTTGTTTAGTTTCCGACAACGAATGCGGGGGGTATAAAGTATGCCCTGTTGGCGGTAGATACCCTTACTCGTATGGTGTTTGTTCGGGGTTTTCCGCCTAGTGTTGCTGCTGGAGATGCTGTGCGCTTCTTGGAGGAGCAAGATTTAGCGCTGGGAGTTCCGCAGAAGATTACGATGGACGCTGACTCTGTGTTCAATACTAATGCTATGGTTAACTTTTGTGAGGCCAGGCAGATTGTGCCGCATTTTGTGTTGATCGACCGTCACCAAGGTAATGGGAGAGCGGAGGTTCTCATCCGTACGATGAAGGACTGGCTCAAGCGTGAAGTGGCGGCTGCTGATGCAGAAGTGGGATCATGGGTCCATTCGGTTTATGATGGGGTCCGGACTTACAATGCGACGGTGAACTCGGTTACTGTGTTTTTTCCGTACTTTCACGTGACGGGGCGTACGTTTCTGCATGCTCAGCGAGATCAGCTACAAGAGAGGGTCTTTGAGATGCTGTTGACTGAGCGTGGCACGGAGGCTGTGGTACGTGATGCGGTGGCAGTGCAGCGTGATCTGCGGGCGCAGGAGTCTCAGCGTCGGCCGGCTGACTTGCATCGTGTTACGATGGACGCTGACTCTGTGTGTGATTGGATTCGGTACAAGATCCGAGGTACAGGTCATGCTTTGGCTACACGGTATGATGGCCCAGCCAACACTGTTGTTGTCTTGCCCAACTTGAAGTATGATGCGGAGGTTGCGTCTGGTGTTGTTCGTTCATACATGGTTGATGAGCTCACGGCTCATGTTCAAGGCATTGATATGTTGCCGCCGGGCAGACAGAATGTTGTGACTTATCGCCCGCATGGGTGGTATGAACCCTGGCTGCTGTTCAGGTCACCGATGCAGGAGATGTAGTCTGAGTATCGGCAGGAGCTACTAATGGTAATCGTTGTCCGTAGCAGTACATATATATATATATATATATATATCGGTCCAGAAGTCCAGAATTGCCTTTGAGTATGGGTGCATGCACAATACAGCAGGAAACCTCCGTACGCATAGCTATACACAACAGCAGCAGCACAATTGCACAACAGTACAACCGCATAAAGTCCATCATTATCGTCAACTCCTGACCAGGGTTACAAGCGTACATATTCGCAAACTATGCCAGGGCTACAGCACATCGTTACAGTGACATTAGTCAAAACTGGTCGTAAACTGTACAGGTGCACGGCACCCATATGCATCGCACCGATATGAGAATTCAAATGCATTTTTCGCATGCTAAGGCTTGCAGCGAAAAGCGGCAGATCTGCAGCGCGTGGAAGTCCCAGCTTTTGTCGTCGGTAATTGGGTCCGATATAAGGTGCGAGGTGTAGGTCATGTGTTGGATGCGCTATATGATGGGCCAGCGAAGGTAATAGAAGTTCTACCGAGCTTGAAGTACAATGTGGATGTAGCTCCTGGGGTTGTTCGTTCAAATATGTTGGATGAACTCCAGGCGCATGTTCAAGGTATTGGTAACTTGCTTTACGTAATACCAAACAAACGCCCGCAAACGATTGCAGAGTTATACTATCATGTCTTTAATGATTTCGGTTTTCCCCGAATACTATGGTCTGATAATGGCAACGAGTACTATACCGATATATTGGAGGTACTGATACTCGTATCAGTTATGACCCATAGGCGTGGTGTTCCTCATAAACCTCAAACGCAGGGCGCACATGAGGCACGTCATAGAGAACGCATGAAACTCTTGCGTAAAGTACTGAATGACGTTGAGGATATGCGGCCTTATCAATTAAAATGGGTTCGAACTCATGAATACTAGTACATGAATCCTCAAACTGGGACACGTCCGTTTCGCTATTTATTTGGCCGCTATAGTAGATTATAAACAGCGCTGTAAACACGATAACACGATACCCCATGGCCACAAAAGATTGAGCATATGCGGAACACTGTTTACCCCTATTTACTCGAGTACAAAAATCGCGTCTCGCTAAAAGCACACGACCAATGGAATAAGAACGACCTCCTGCGCCTTCTGACTACAATCAAGATGACCTTCGTAATTCATGTCACGGCACAACATATTCCTGGAATTGATAATACCACCGCCGATCACATCAGTCGTGGCCGATTTCCGGAAGTACGTTGCGTCATCCCAGCACTGCATGCTGCCGCAACCTCATTCTCAGGACTAAATAGACAATCACGAACAGGCCCTGAGATCATGCCTGAGTACAGGCCTATTAAACTACACTCACAGCTCTCCAATCAGAACAGATCATAGAGTTTTATAGCACGCCTCAAAAAAGCCCCTCGCCTCACTCAGCACAAGTTAAATAACACAACTGCACCCTATCAAAAAAAACAAAAAAAACATACAATCACTCCAAAATCCGACTCTCCAAGTACAAAACGTCAAAATTTTGAGTCAGTTAGACTCCAAAATTTACTCTACAATAGCAAGACCCCTACTCCTTGGGGTACTACTAACTAACGCAAATCATACGACTAATGCATACGGCCCTCACACGCCCCCATTTACAGCTGGTAACAGTTCACCGCTAACAGGACAGGTACGCTCTCGAAATGTACATCAGACAGACGTTTGAATATCTCGCCCTCTCAAAGCGCCAAAGCCAGCACATCTACAGTCCGTCGTCAGTTCATCGCGCTCGCTGCACACGAAGGCTATCTTTCCTTCGAATGGGGAAACAATGGCGCCTTACCAACACACCCAAACTACTGGATCCTATTTATCGCATGGCTCGACAAGCGTGGATAGTATCAAAGTGTACATGAGCCACTGCCGAGTTGTGAACGAACACCAAAACCAACCACTGCCCGATCAGATGTACATCGTACACAAATTCCTTAAAGCGATTCGGCGCCAAAGGGTAATGGAAAGTCGTATGACTCCTTATCGCAATCGCCGGCCCCATACACCCCCACTGTTTCTCCACAAACTCTATCCTCAACTGGTGGGTACACTATCCGATCTGAAATTTTTTGTCTCCTTACAAGTATATCACTAGGCATAATTTGCAATTCTCTGATCTGACGAAATTGCAGCAAATACATCACTCGATAACTACTCCGAACATACACACACAAACCGCAGAGGTCTCTCTGACCACGACACACACATGGAACTACAACCTCCAACATTCAAAACAAGCCTTGAGAACCTGTCACAATCTTCATCCAAAACTCCCTGGCACTGCTTATCGCTTTCTCAAACAGTGACTGGCACCGACAGCAACTGAAAGCCCAGCCGCCCATCTACTATCAACGAACGGGACCACTTTCAATACGACGGAATTTACATCGGGACTGAAGAAAACGATTAGTCGTGCAAAGCTATATACTAAGCAATACATATGCCACACGCTCCGTATTGGTAGGCTTATCGCACTCCTTCAGGCAGGAATACCAAAACAAGAACATGGTCCTCGGCCACTGGATGTCCGACATATTTGTAATATACTGGTAATGAGATGGACAAGACCACGCACGCATAGCCAAAACTTTAACTGACTTTATCACCAACAACGGCTTAAGTGCGTCCAACGATAAGGACATCCCACAGATACTCTACAATCTTCGTGACGCCCCCATTTGCCGCACAACTACAGGGTGCCAAACAGCCCTGGTGTTCTGTCCGGCTGCGCCTTGCTGCCTTTTTCGCTAGGAGTGTCACCGACACTCGCAGGCCTGGCAGTGCAGCGTGGCATACGGCAAACACAAATTTAGCGAACGGTTCAAGTTTTATACCGAAAAATCTGAAATCTCACATCCATAATGACACACACTTGTGTGCGCAAATAAGAGCAAAACAAAGAATATGAAATACGTACTTGCTAGCCCCTTTTAGCAGCCGAGACTGTCTTTATATAGGAGGCGCTTCGCTAACACTTGCCTCCAATACTGGTGAGAAGTGTCTTTACAATTTCTATTCAGTGATGCAGCTTGCTCTACACAGATACCCTTGGAGTGCATGGTGTCAATACCCTGTTCAGTTGACCATCCAAAGGAGGCTTCTTTGACTAAGATCCTATCACTCTGAAGTCCTAGAAACTCCCTTTGGAAAAGGTAGCGTCCGATGGATTGATAACTGGCAAACTAACCTTTATTATATACTCACAATATTAACTGCCTCTACCCAAACTAGTGAAGACTCTGGTTGTACCAATCGCATGATGTTTGAAACGAGTATTGCTTCACTCCGAGCCGGGTTCTTGGTTGATAGCCGCTATCTGATATCGTCAGAGTTGTAATATGCGTAGAACATCATCCTTGAACACGAGGAACCAACAGATCTGGTCGGAGACACCTAAACTCATAGTGGACAGATGGCCACACATCAAGCGTTCCTGTCTTGAGCAATTCTGCAGCCACCACCACCAACATTAATGTATATTGGCTATTCGTGATTGACACTGTCAATTCAGCCCAGGCCATCAGTGAGGGAGCGTTTGTTTCTTATTCTAATCTCACATACGCTTTAAGTACACTATATTCCGTGCTCGCGGCTTTGGAGCCTGCGGTACTGGGAATGGGCCTTCATCGACATGCCAGATTGCGTAGCAGTCGATTGCACTAACAACAACAACGGGTGCAGAAAGGACGCGTATGTCTAATTAGTGCACGGCCAGTTTACAGTAGACGGTACGCATACCTTCTCAGATGTGGTTATCGATTGCTACAAAACATTAGTTGAAACAGAATGCTCAATTAATCAATAGAGATACCACCATACAATTCCGTGACAGGCTATATAAACCAAAGTAACAGTAGTGTAAAGTCAATCGCGAGAATGCGAAAGTGGTGGCGACTGAAGTTACACTACTCCCGATACCACAGAAACCGTGGGCCAATTACCCTCAACTACAGGAGCATTGACTCCTGGTACTGACTACACGAGCACAAGAGCCAATCAACTAGGTATAGGCGCGGCAGATCAAACTTCATAGTTCAGTATATGGGGTTGGAGAACAGTGCCGGCTTTGATCTTCGCTGCTGTTTGATGTATTCTATGAGACTAATTTTGTCAAGTGTCACATGTCGTCGCCGAGAACGCCAAGCATCCATAGATATCAGGCAGTACCAGACGGACATGGCCCAGCTATCTCGGCCAGTGGTGTGGTCAAGGGTCCGACGAGGTTGCAGCAACCGATTACAGTGACAGTGCCGCAGGGGCATAGTCGTTCTTGGCATTCATCGTGATTGCAGTAGGCATGATTAGTCTGGCATTGTTCTACAACACATTAACAATCACCTACACTGTGCGACATATCCATTGTATATATGATGACCTGCAATTTAGTGATAGATAGATAGTAGTTATCAAAACACTTGATAAATATTATGCTATACCACTTTTAATGACAATATCTATATAAAAGTCCACAATTCGAAGCTTGAATGCATTCATTTAGTTTCTTGGTAGCTAGAAGCTCGTAAACGTTTACACGCAAGCGAGGAAAAAACTTTTGTTTACAGAATCGAATCAATTTCGCATCTGACTGCATCTTAATCTGTAACCCGATTGTATACACACATCGCAAGTGGCAGTTCAAGGCGATCAGATGGAAGGTCATTTGTTTTAAATTATATAACTCTGTATAGGTGTACTGCGCGAATATCACTTTCCTCGTCAGCATCGTATTCTGCGTAGTCCAAAGTTATTTCTTCTACCCAACTGGCGGTATCCATGTCGAGCTACAGAGTAAGAAATCAATATCAGAAATAAAACAATATTGGGAAGCATACAACAATTCAACAGAAAAGTGGATGCGAATAGATTAGAATTTGGGTTGATTGGGCACTACACAAGGCTTGCTCAGGATCTGTTTCCATTTTTCGTCCCAAGCTATAATTGTAACTCCGTTGCCGAGTGAAAATGTAGAAATGCATTCAGATCGCCAGATCAGCGATTTATGAACACACATGAACCGGTCTTGATGCATCATTTGATCACGACACAATATACATGTATATTTGTTTGATTGGATTTCAAGGCAAGCATAACACGAGAATACTATAAATATACAATGTATTTGTATCGTTAAAAAGAAAAACACGTGCATACTTACCTGAGCGCTGCGGAGCGAGCCAGAAATTTCAGGGACGGTAACTAACATTGTCCCCTTGCGCACAATTGTACTTCTTAAAAACGTCTGCAAAAAGGAAATACGGCAAGAGCAAACTTCAACTCGATACTTTGAACACCAAAAAGTGCCTGTGATTGCCGAATACACAGTATATATATATATATATATAGATGCACACACAGACACACACACACACACATATATATATAGTAATAATATATACTACATAACTACACACGACTACAGAACGAACGTAACA